CTCCACGCGCCAGCGCCGCCGCACGCTTTACCAAAAGCTTCAAATGACACAAAAACCTATATTCGCGTCAAATAGACGCTAAGCGTCCAAGGCACGGGGGGGGGGTCTCATCATTGCGGGTGTATAACATACTAATACTTACTAATCTATACTATAATATATTCATCTATACTAGAAAGATATACTATAATATATTATAATAAACCAAGTCGGAAACCCACCCCTTGCCTGGGTGTCGTTGCCCGTTTGCCGCAAGGCTCGGCGGGCGGGGCCCTCCTCAAAGCCGTGGGACAGCAGCGATGACAGCGACAATGGATCCACCTTACCCCAATGACGTCAACCCCCTCTTGCAGTATAGGACATGGATGATGTAGGAGTTTGTTCAAGGAATACCTGGAGATTGTAATTATAGGGCTTAGGGGTACCAACCCGATAACCAAGAATCAAGTGGGCAGTGCGATGGGAACCCGAGATTACGTAGGGCTATCGCCCTTCGAAGTATAAGGCACTATTACACCAACAATGGAGATTGAAATGAAAACTGGGATTTTGATCCACCGTTGAAATACCAAGGGATTAGTACCACAATAATGGAGAACCGTATGGACAAACCAATGAAAAACGATACGGGAACCGGGGTATATGCAGGATACTACATAGGAATGCATAATCGCCTATCGGTCTTCTTTGTGCTCCTAAAATGCTCAACATTTCATGTGCTTCGCCCGAAAACCCTAGTCTAGTAGTGTTCGTCAAAACTTACGTGAAAACCAACTCTAGATTGCTGCTGCAAGATGCCCGCTACAGCTGTAACTGCTATTCCTCTTCTTGCAAAGGCTCAAATAGCAACTGCACTCAACCATTAAAAAACGCTTAAAGAAATATTCGAAGGATCCACAGACGTGCAAGATTATGCAGTTCCGCGCTTACTAGAAGCTTTTGGCAAGATTTCCGAGGTACTGGGCCTCCTGAATCCTCCAGGAAGGGTCTTGGTGAGCTTACCGTGGGATGCACAAACCAGTTTTCGAAAGGACGCAAGAAAAACCATAGAAATGGAGGGCAACGGATCTTAAGATGCTTGGTTGCGCAATGTTCTTTACGGCGAAGCCTACCCCTCGTCCGTAATCAGAGAACACCCAACCCTTGTAGGCTCTACAACCTTATGCCGATCAGCCGGGGCTTCTGCTGGAGTCACATCTTGAGAGACTTGGTGGTTCAGGGTCTCCATACTGGTGCAGACTCAAAGGTTAGGGAATTGATTGGGGCTCCTTACATGTAAGGTTGATATCGCTTGAATATCGGAGAATCTTTCTGCCAGGAGCCATTCTTGGAAGAGGTGTTTCTTTCACGTCCAGGCACTGGCTGCGAGCTTGGGGCCGACTCAGGCGCAGCGCCTGGTTGCAGCCAGCACTCTCTAGAAAGAATTAAGGAGCGTCTTGCTTTCAGGCGCGGAATTACGTTTCCTTGAACAAGAGTTCTGATACCCATGCTTACGATTAGTAGGGAATGAGGGAATCAACTACATAGGGACTATACAGGGATGATTTTCTCCTATTCCCTACAAACCACCAGTAAGCCTGGAGCCCCACATGCTTGAATCTATCGCGCCTGGCCGTTCCTTGCCTTCGCGCGCAAGGCGCTCCACTAAGCGCAATGAGAAGCTTTCATCTCCATCCTCCGGACACTCCTGGCAAGATCCAGATATGTGTCCAACTCGTGCGGCGTGGCATGTAAGTTCATGTACTCACATACGCATACCATGTGTGAACAGAGACACGCTGGCAGTACGAGATATAGTCATTATATGACAAGTGGCATATGCATGCACTCTGAAATGGGCGTGTATTTGAAGAGCAGGGTCTCGGATTGAATACGAGATCGCAAGTCCTGAGTGCTGCGGAGTTCGTGCTGTACATGAGCCTCCAGGCACTCGGGCATCATCTCCTCAGCCCACGAGTCTTGTAAACAGTGGCAAGGTGCGGCGGCTTCTTGCATCAACTTTTTTGTTGCTTTTGTCGAGCTGAGAATCACGTATTATATTTGCGCGCTGCGCAAGCAGAAGCCATGTGCCGCATGCTCAAAAGTCGGATTGTGCAGTCAGGAGTCAGTCATGCGACGAAAGGCCATGCGCTCTGGCAGAACGTCAGAGATGGCATGGGCAGCAGAGGCCAGAAAATCGTACTGCAAATGCTTTAATGTCTGCAGACCTCAGCTGGCCATGCTTGGGTGTACTACCTTTAGCCGGGACAGGCTTTGCCTCTTGAGAGGCCAGTCCTGCTGCTGAATGCCAAACTGATGCCCTGCGAAAAACGAGGCTTGGTACTTGGTAACCATAAAGGAAACCAGATAGCCATACAAGCTCTTGATGTTCATCTGTTCTCTTGCATTCGGAATAGCTGAGGCACAGGAGTCCAGGATGTCATCCCGGTGCTCCTCCAAAGTGTAAAGCCACTCGAAGACGCTCCGATTTATTCTCTCGAAGGTCTCCTCAAGGGCAGACAACACATAAAATGACTTTGCTTCAAGCTATAGGGGATCCCCGCTGGCGATGCTACACACCAAGGCCCTCAACAAGAGATATCCTCAAGTCAGCCAGGCAGTAATTAGCTAGGCTCATGCAAAGAAGATGTAAGTCCAGAAGCACATTTGGTGGCGAAAACACATCTGGAAACTGGTCTCCTTTAGTGTATTCGAGCACTCTCCCTTAGCATGGACCCCTCCATCCTCCTCCATCCTCTATCCTCCTAATCCTCCATATCCTCCTCCTCCACTGCCTCGCGCTCCGCGTGCAGACACTTCCAGCCAACCTTGCGCCTAGACCCGCAATCCCCATCCCCTGGACAATAAACTGGGCCTTTAGCATCAAGGGGAAGATGGGGAGGGATTCTTTTAGAACTATTCCTACTACCCACTGGCGGCAAGCTGCCAAGCCGCGCCTTGGAGGCCTGGAACTCAGACTTTGCCAGTTTCCGCCGGAGGTCGGCGTCCTGTAGGGCCTTGAGGCTGCGGCTTAGAAAATGATGCGGCTGTCTAGACTTGAGACCTATGGGGCTTCAGGGATTGGGGGGCTGAGGGATTTGCCAAACTTCTGCAACACACCACCACCTGAGCGCGGCACGTGGGTATCACAGAGTTCGACTTGTCTAAGGGCCTCTTTGAGCGCAGCGAGGCACCTTGGCACAAGCCAGAAGTCAGGGCCGCCCTCATCGATCAGCATGGAACTACCCAGATCTGTTCTGACTACGTCCATCCCCCAGAAGCGCAGATGACCACTCAGGAAGAGGACCTGATTGGAAATATCACAGGATGACCCTAACACAGTCACGGCTTGAGGCGTTCTAGGGAAGAGCCTTGCAGGGAGCTCTCCGCTTTCCGAAAATCCTGCGAGCCGGAGACAACACCTGCGACTAGGCAGCAGTACGCCTACAGTATGCTAGGGCTGTGGGGTCAGACTGTTCGGTTCCAAATCTCGCTCTGGCTTGCCGGCTAAATTCAAATTTTGGTTTGGAGGTGTGGTCTTCTGCGAGACCTGAAGGCCTGAAAAAATGTGTGCTGCATTTATACCAACCTCTAAATGAGTGCTTAGCCTCGTGTTTGAACCTAAGATCAGAAGGATTCCACCACGACTCCTTGGTGGTTTGCAAGGGGTTTTGTACGTATACTGCCTCAGAGGCAACAAGGCAGGAGACAAAAAGGAAGAACGACTTGCAATGATGGGCACACTTCGCGCTTCTCCAGCTGCTTCCGCAACTTTTCATGGTTGGCCAAGTGGTCCTATCAGGTCTTACTCTTGCTTCCTTCTGCCCTGGGTGACAAATGCGTCGCAAAACCACAGTCTCCCGCAGCCAGAGGTCTGGCTTCGAGTAGATGTATGTAGGCTTTGCTCTGGCTTCATCTACTCAAGGGGGATTCTAACTGCAGGGGACAACAAGTTATGGCCTAGTTCTCGCTGTGCTTAGCCGCTGCCCGACGCTCTACATAGTAATAATTGTAAGATATGGTAAGAACGGTTATCATGGCGTGCTGGTAAACACCATGGTTTCCCCAGTACCAGTACCTAGAAGAGGAACCGCAACGCCCTTCTAGGGGTCTTCTCTCCATCTCCTGCGTATGCCCTGCGATCTTTTGATCAGGTTCGGAAGAGGGAACTCAAATTCTGGGAAAAGCCTCTCTTAATTTCCAATAATAAGAACTGCATCCTTCAGATTCCGCAATGATGTTCACAATCAAGAAGCAGCACTACTATGCATACCCATTTAGCGATACCATCCCTCTCTACAGCCCCTACACAACCACAACACATGGTACCCAAACTCCACATCCCCAAAACATCATCTGCGCCTGTATATGACTTACCTGACTCAGAAGGCTTCTCTTACCCCTTGAACCTGAGACTGTGTATTGTAGATCCTGATTCTTTGGGTCCTTCAGCGGAGTGGCGATGTTGAACTCTAAGTTTCTGTTGAAGCGAGCCACAGCGCTGTGCGGCGCATCTTCGCGGGCCTCAAGATATGATCCCAGCTCAGATTCTTGTGGAGAACGGCAGTTGTTACAAGGATCAGAATTCAAATTCCAGTTGGTAAGAAATGTTCAGCATGGAATGTTTTGACCGTTGTAACCAAAAGTTTCTGATGCCAGGTGTTGAGTGTCAGGCCAGGACGTCAACCAGTCCCTAGACAAGCTGCATCTTACCCCAATAACAAAGGGATTATACGGGAATAATGAAAAAGAAAATGGAAAATATCATATTATAATGGAGCATGTAGGGACTGTAAATAATCATCTCTGTCACCCATTCCTCCGCTGCCCAGTATGCAGCAGTTACAGTAAGAAGGATTCCTGCACTCGATTTCCGCTCCTAAAGTTACTAGCGGGTGGCCACAAGCTGCGGCTGATCTGGGGCGGCGCACAGAATTCGAAAAGGGACAACTGAGGACTCACTGCACTCTTGCAGTCTCTATCTCTCTCTCTCTCTCTCTGCCGTGCAATCCAGAGGGTCTCTCGCAGCAAGCGCACGCTATAATACAGCATGGGATTACTGGCCCCACATCAAGTATGTATCATTGCGAGGACTGCAAATATGGACTCAAAAGGTCATCACGGGACTTCTTGTGGGCTGGGTTAACCCTACATGGGCTGCTTACTTCGGATACCTTCCTAGTCGGAGTCTCACTTGAACATATAGGACTTGCGGTAGCTGCGAGTGCCCGGCGACTATCACTGGCAACCATACCTGCTACGGCTCTTTTCGTTCCACGATTTGTAGCTTCTTCATGAATCATCGTCTGCAACAACATCTCACTCGGTGCCCATCTATTGAGCCAAAGTCCATGACGAGACACGATTTGTTGCGCTGCTTCGCGCAACCTGCACCCTTCTTTGACCAGGATGCGATCCTGAAACGGGAGCTGAAAATGGCCTTTGGCTGGGGCTTCTTGCTTGAAGGACTCCATTCCCAACTGGAGAGGCTGTGGAAGCCTCCCTCCTCTTTGCAATTCTGAACTTCGCCGGCCCATGTCTTGTTCTGATTCGACTGCATGATGTGCTTATTCACTTTGACCCTATGAATCCTGCACTTTGGCTGAGTCAGATGCAGCGTTTTCGCAATCCTGCTCGTACTCCATCTTATCTTGTGCCTATTTGGTCCTCACATGAGAGGCGCTTCTTCTGCAGTAAGCTGGTGCAGAGCTCTGTGGAAACGAGAACGCTTCAGCGTTCTTGCGCAGCAGCTTGTAACGTCTGGGAAGCCACTATTTTACAGTGGAGACAATGGGTTCCTAATGTGGAAGGGAAACCCTCGCTGGTATCTCACAGGCACACGCTCATCTCATCTTGCCTGTGGGTACAAATCTCATTTGTGTCGCCTTCGATGCCAAGGCTTGCGAACGCATCCAACTTCCAACCCAATAACCTATTCTATTTAAACAGGCCCCGCACATCATGCCATACCTTCCATAGCTACGGGACCCCAGTACAAACCCCATAACACTACACATCCTCACCATAGAGACCCCCGAAGTGGGATCTCCAATCTTCCAGAAACCACATACCCTTCAAACCGCTATACAATCCCGGTTTCCATTATCCCTTCACTAGAGGACCCCCCCCTGTAATAATGGTATAATAGGAATATAAGAGGACCTAATATAATCCCTATTATCCCCTGTAGTCACTATTACTGGGTGGGGGGTCCACCTAATGTATACCCAGAAACCTCTACGTCATACCCCTCCGAGCGAACTCGCGCGGTCCTGAGCCAGCTTGAGTTGCTCGGCTAATCCGTCAGACAGGCCCTGTACACCTTGGCCGGGCTTCATCGCTGCTGGGATGCTGCAAAGGCCTCATCTAGGGTTACATAGAGGGGATACCCCAATATTGGAGAGTCATATGGAAAAACCTTGGGAAGGAACAGTAGGAGTGGGATCTCTGGCCGATCCCGGCCCCTCACGCCCCTACCGGCATTCATCCCACCTAGAATATGCATGCTGAAGATGATAGTACCACCTTCTATCCTGAAACTGTTTGCAAATTGCACACTTCGCAGGACAAAGGCCGTTATCAGAACTAACACTTTGAGATGTTTCTCCTTTTTCTTCTGTGCAACCCCTTTTTCCTAAACCCCTGAGCCGCCATACCTCTAACACCCAAAACCACGACCATTCCTGGCTTCGGTCAAGGGTTCCAGGGTTGTACCCCTGAGGTTGTACCCCTAATTCTGCAGCGAGCCCGGTGCCCAAAACCCAGGGTATAACCCTACTTGGAGGGTCCCCCGTAAGTATACTCATAAGCCCTCTAAGCCCTGTGGTCCGTATAGAAACCCCAGCTATCCCTCTTACCAACCTACTTACTTAGTCCCCCTGACCCCAAAACTTATACCCAAACCCCCAACCAAACACTAAACCCCCAAAAGGGGTCCAATCCTGAAACCCTGGAGTCTGAGGCCTCAACCTGAAGCCAGCTCACGGATGCCTCGCCTTAGGCTCAAGAATTGCATGGCTGTAGGCTGTAGGGTTTAGTTTAGGGTTTCGGGTTTAGAGGTTTCCCTACTCCATCCTACCCCCCACTCTGCTACACCCCCCGCTTGGGATCCCCTCGGTTCCCCACTAATTCAGGGATAATGAGGCTGGCATGGGAATGAGGACCTAGAAAAAATAGGGATTTTGGGTTTACAGCATGAGGCTTAAGTTTTTGAGCGGCTTTGCCACTTGCATGGCCCAAGCATCCCAATTTAGGGTCTAGGGCGAAAGGGACTGCTATGAACCTGCGCATGAGGATGTGAAGGAAATGCATTAATCCCTGAGAGAGACTGGGGTGTCCAAAAAAAAGGAGTGTTTGCTCCACGTTCCAACCCTCGGCGCATAATATTTGAGGGCTTCTGCTTCTGGAAAACTCTCTGGCAGCTCTTGAATATTAAGCTTTAGTGTGGTGCTTCACGCGCTTCTCAATGCGGAGAAAAAGGTTAATACAAAAAGGCTATGGAGAGGGTCATAGGGGGCGCTGACGGGCTGAAAAGGGATTAGGATCAGCGTTTTTCAGTGTGGCGAGCATGCGAGCTAGTTTTGGGAAAACTGATGAGGACACGAATGAGCTGTCTGAGAGGCAGCACGAACCAAACGCCTACATTATGCACATTGATGCAGACAAGGGAAAAAGTGTCTGCTTCAAAGTAAACCATCACAGATGAAGTCCTAATCCACCTTCCTTTTGGTAGGGTTCACAGCTCTGGGGTTTCAACGGTCCGCAACATTCGGCTGATTCAATAAAGCTGTTTCATGACTAGGGCTCCATCTTAGGGCACCTGCAAGATGAGTAGGGGCGTCGTTTTCCAGATTTGAGCGGTGCCTACGCGTTTCCGGTGCTTAGCGGGCCATGCATCAGCTGCTTGCGCTCTCGAGGCTGCAAAGACAACATATAGGTCGCTACCCATTGCATCCCATTGCTTGCAAATCTGGACCTGTTACTTGGCCGATGTATTAAAGACGGCCTCACTGCATTTTCTACGGCTCACCCATCTACTGCAGTCTTTGCTTACCATGATTCTTTACATGCAGCCCTGCTGCACAAAAGTCTCCAAGCTGGAGTTCACCTGCTGCAGCGACTGGTCGAACTCGTTAAATTGGGCCACCATGCCCTGGTACACCTCGTTTCCGTCATGAAGTGTGGAACCCGAAACCTGGGCCTGGCTACATCACTCAATCTGCAGCAACTCTTGGCAATGGCCACCAGAGCGGCCGGATCAGGGGTGTCTCGCTGCAGCCACTGCTCTTCCGGGCGGAGAGCCATTGAGCCAAGTACGCTTCAGAAATGTCAAGAATGCAGGTCTTTGTTGTGAATCCGTCTCCTTCTGGTAGCCCTGGCAAGGCTGCGCTAGGCTGTGGCCAGTGTATGTCATAACAAGCACTTCTCCTTCCTCCTGTAGACGTGTCGCCAATGGTGGTTAGCAGCTCAAGCTCGTGAGCCAAAACAGTAGCATCTGACTTGCAAGCAGCGACATCGAGCGCAGGCATCGACGCGTGTCTACAACTTTTGCAGTGCTTGGTGCATGACGATGCTCAGGTAGAATTCTAACACACATTCTGATGTTGATGCTGCTGACTGCATGCTCACGACCTCCTTTCCTATTCTAGACTTTGAAAGGGGGCGAAGGATCCTCTGCGCTCTCTTCTTCTTCTTCTTCTCACTGCTCTGCCCCCACTCCTAGGAGGGAGACCGTGCCTCGCCCCAAGCAGGCACTGTCCGTGGTCCAGCTCAGAAGGCTAGCAGTATGCGGCAGGACAGATAAGGCTTCTCTTCCCCGCCCCTCTCTCTGTATCTCCTCTTCTTCTTCTCTGGATCTCTGTGCTAGCGTAGGATCGCACTTGCGCAATCCCCAAATTCTTTTACGGCTCTTCTCATTGGGCAAGATGCCCCTAGCTGTCCGGCCACAATCCGCAGCCTGCACAGCCTATGCACCCATCGCGGCAATTGAGGCGGCTTGGGACGGAAAACCATGCGGTGATCACCATCAGGGTGAGTATGGTGCAGAACACGAATAGGAATGGATTTGAGGACTGTCATAAAGCCCACAGTGACAAGGGCGCAGCAATAAACCTCAGAACCATTGTAACGAAACAGTACGAAGCACCAGCTGATGGCCAAGTGCTCATCCAAGCGGGTACGCCTTCTTCTATGTTGCCACTAGGGTCATAGAATTTGAGATCCGACTTGAAATCTTGTGCTCTACAGACACTTGGTTGTAGTAATCCTTACACTGTAGATGAGCCGCAGCTTCCGGAGATTCCTGCACCACTGGCAGGACTCCTCAGGAGTCAACTCTTGTTTGCGCCTTTGGCGCAAGAAATGCCTATGAACATAAGGGCGTAGGTTGCAGCAGGGAGGCAGCCTCACGAGTCTGAGGCCATCCCGATCCTAAACTACGCTGGTGATAGCCCGCCCTGGGACCATAGACAAGATAATTGTTTCCAGTGTTCTCACAAAAGCTATTGCGATTACTCTTACGACTTCTCCTTCTTCCTTCTTCTACTGCTGCCCAGGGCGGAAAGGGCTCACGAGCCGAAGACATGGAAGAGTTGCGCATAAAGCAGCCTTAATCCAGCGGCTTTCGTTTCGAAGGCTCACAACAAGCTGAACCTTTGCAGGTTGAACCCTTCCCCGACACTTTAATTCCCAACATCACATACTACCCCTTACGGTTTTTAATGCATGAGATCGGAAAATACTACGCAAGTATGCCCAAGATACTTTACATACTTTAACGTAATGTATGGCTGGGTGGGGGGGGGGGGTTTAGCATTAGGGCATAAACCCTAAACCCCAAACCGCCCTAGGATTAAGTGCAGCCCGGCGGCAAGATGCCTAAATAGGAGATGATGCACCACCATGGCCTGGGACTCCTTGAGACAGGGCTTCTTTCAGAGTCCTCCTACTTACAACTGTTTTTACTTGTGTAGGGTTTAGGGTTTACGTAGGATTCTTTAAAGGGTTTTGCCACTTGCATGGCCGAAGGAGCACAAGGTAGAATCATTTTGTAAGGCTTGGGGCATAGGATTTGGGGGTTGGGGCTTAGGGGTTCTGATTATGGAGATATTAACCCCAATCATGGAGAATGAAAAATGGATAATGAATTGGAAGCTGGGAGGATATAGGGGTTTGGGGTTTAGCGGACTAGGCAGGCATGCTACGAGACACTAGTGTTATCCAGGATCATGTAGTTACTCTATGCGGATATAGGTTGCAACCTGGTTATCCCCGCAGCACGGCGTGTTTTGCATTATCGGGGTATCTCATGTATAAGCTGATGCCAGATTCCCTCCATGCACAGTATAGGCTGGCATAATCATTACGAAGCACGAGCGTTACCTTTGTAACTACAAGAGACTATCGGACACTAGTTGTTCCAACCTGGGTTTTTGCCTGCCCCTCCCCCCACAATATCATGGTCATGCTCAGTAGTGAACCGAGAAATAGATCCTCCAGTATTCCTCCTGCGGGCAAATGTTGTGTTACAACCATAGCTCTATGGCTCATGCATTCTTAGGCTGATTTGTTATTTGGAGAGGAGCTGTTGCCACTGAAGCGTGAAATGCCCGCTGCTGCAAGACTTGAATTCCGCTTGGCAAAGCTTGTGCCGAGGCTCAGAATGATGTAGAGGTGCAAGCCGTTTGGGTCCATGACCAGGAGGTAGAAGAACAGGTAACATGCCGCTAGGATTGAAGCCACCCAAAAGTCTAGGAAGACCAGGGGTCGGGTGTGGCTCCACTGACTGGCCAAGGCTATCGGTAGGTTGAGGAGGTGCATGTTGAAAAGGAACCAGCTGAGGTTCATCTTCAGGAAGGCACGCCTGTTCTTAGGCGCCGCAAACGCCAGGATGACCGGAAACCTGGGTAACAGCGCATGCGCAACTGCATCATATGCAGTCCTTACTAGTTCAGGTTTGTTCAAAGCAGCCAAGCTGCAAAACCAACCACCAGATCGTGCTTGTCACGGTCGCCATGGCCACTACCGGGAAGCGCAAAATCTCAGCTGCGGTTCGACACCCCAAGAAGACGAAAGTAAATCGCAGAGTCATCAGCACGTAGGAGATCGCCGTATAGCTCACAAATGGCCACAGCCCAGTACCTTGTGCATTTGTGAAGCTTCTTGGCAACAAGCAATCCTAAGACCGATACCATCCGTAAACCTGCTGATCCTCTAACTGCTTGGCCAAGTTGCTCTTTAAGGTGAAAGTAAGAACAGTTGTCATGTACAGTGCGCCTGCGCCATGCCTCAGGAGCTTTGCAAAGAGAAAGCAGGCATGGCTACAGCCACGAGCTTGAAAGGCCAAATATGGCCAAATGACGTGTCAAAGAATTGCTTCAGATCAAACACACTGACGCCCGACTTGCACATATGCTATAACGCAGTCAAGGATCACTAGTTGAATGAAGGAACCCTCTGGCTCAGCTGCAGTAAGCTTTGGCAAGTCGGCAAAGGCCCAGCCAGCCGAAAACGCGACGAAACCTAGGTAAGAGACGCTTCAAGGCCAAGGGAACAGAAGCATGGCCTGTTTGCGGCAAAGAGCTGATGAACGCTGCCAGGAAAATGTAGGCCAACGGGGACCATGGACCCACGCGCAGGTGCTCAGGGAACTGGTCCTGGGTTGTATTAAGATGTATTAAGATGCTTTGAATCGGCTTCCTTTTCTGAGACGCGTAGTGCCTGTATCAGGTAGCCTGCTGGCGTGCAGTGTGTAGTCACCCACAGGCCGCAGATACCGCTGTAGTCATGATAGAAGCATAGCATGCGCATGATAGGAATACTTGTAAATCAGTGATAGGTAGCAACACCAATTTCGTTGTTACTACAAGAAACACCAACATGACTTCATTACGAGCACTCTGAAAAATCAGCGCAGAAAACATAATGGTGCTAATAGGACAGTAGGATACGTTACTTGGGCCCCAGTCACCCCAAGATATAATGTTAACTATATCAGGGCCTTTATATGTTCCTACAGTACCACTATGGGGCCAACCCAAAGGATGCCAACTTTGAACCCCAGCTTCGAAGCTTGGCCAAGGACTGCTGCTGCCAGGCCTGTCCCACTCGAGTCCGAAAAATGATCCAGACCTAGAAGACAGGGTTTAGACACTCGCATCGCACAGCAGGGTTTAGGGTTTGAGGGAAGGACTGCTTCAGGCTTCCCAAAAATGGCCACTTCCAAAGGGTTCTGATCAGGAGTCCGTAGCACGTGACAACTGGGTTATAAGGGGGTTTCCCCAGGGAGAATACACCAATAATGGAGAATCAAATGGAAAAGAAAACGGAAAATGAAATGGAAAGTAGGTTTATGTAGGGATAGGAATTCCTAAAATTAAGGGTACCCTTTTGGGGGTCCTAATAACAAGGATCACAATATTGGGGTCCATATTAGTACGTATTAGAGTCCCCCACTTTGGGAAACTACCATGTAGGGTTTGGTTTGGACTTGTCGCAGTAAGAGAGAGAGAGAGAGAGAGAGGGAGAGAGAGATGATTATACATATATATATATATATAATATACAATGTATATAACGTGTGCATACATACTATGTCGGCGAGATGCAGAATCGTGCCAGCTACAGCAATGAAATTTTAGGCTTGTGCGGGGTCGCGGTAAAGCAGCCCCAACTTGCAACCTCTGAACCCTTTAGGCAAGGTGAAGATGCATTGAGGCCTACATCTCAAAGCTCCTTGCCTGAAATGTAAGTGAACAAGCGCAAAACCCATGAGCAGACTAAATCCTCTAGTTGCTTTAAATGATTAATCTAATACATGCACCCGTGTTTCGAGTGTACTGTACCTCCTTCGAACCCAGGGGCTGGGGCTTCCCAGCGCTCTTCACCGCTTGCTTGGCTTCTGCTGAGGACTCATTCCGTATCCGCAGACCGCCGTCCTGTTACACACGCACGTAAAGTGTCCAGGAGCCTGTACGTCAAGTTCAGGTGTTGCAAAACAAGGCGCCAAATGCTGCAAATCTGACCCCAAGCATGTGCGTCAGAAAACTTTAAACGACACAGGCAGCTGCAAGACTTGGATCACGTGTGATCACATGTTCTGAATAATCACTTTTGCCGGGCCTCTTTTTTACGATGACTTATACCACTGCGTCAGCAGGACTTCCTAAGATGTCCTCGTTCCAAATGCTTTGGCTTGTCATGGCTCAAACAGATGTCGGGCCGGGAGCGCGTCTTGGGCTGAAACGGCCACCCGCCAGGCCATCTTATGCATGAGAAATGACCAGCAGCAGCTGCTAAAGCATCCCCATCAAGCCCATTATTAAAGCTGCGGGAGGATTGTAACCGATGAACTTGTTCCCCATGTTGCCTGCCCCGAGTCCAGCCTTATGCCTGCCGCGCATTCCTCAAAAGCATCAGAAAGCACTTTGTCACAAGCGAAGCTTGAAAAGCTGCAGGCGTCTGCAGATCAAAACTTACCTTGGCAACGTTTCGAAGTTAAAATTACGGCGCAGCCGCCAGCTCCTCTTCCTCCTCATCCTCCTCATCCTCTTCCTCTTCTTCTTCCTCTTCTTCCTCCTCCTCGTCCGAGTCGGGTTCAGGACCACCAATACCGAGGCCGTGAAGTCCCATGCCACCCATGCCCAAGCCGCCTCCTAGGACTGAAGCGAAAAGGTTCTGCTGCATCCCACCCGGCTCGTTCTCCGTGTCTGGCATGGACAAAGCACCGGCCCCGGCGAAGCCGCCATAGCTGCTCGGTGCCCGGCCCTTTCGCGTCTCCCGCGCCTTCTTCCAGAGACGTGCGGAAGCGGACGGTCACGCCCTGCGCACAGCCCACAAACCTCTCAAGGCTCTGGAAGCAGTCAAAGGGGTCGTCATCCCCAAGGCTGGGCATCGTGGACTCCTGCAGGTGGTCCTGGATTTGCTGCATGGACTCTGGCAGCCTGAACCCAAGGTCCTGATAGAAGCGAGCTTCCACCCAAGTTTCAGTTTCAAACGCTGCCGCAAAATCCTTTCCGTAGGACGTCTGCAAAGCTTTCCAGATGGGAGCCGTCTCCTTTGCAGAGAGGCCAGGCGCCTCTCGCGGATTTTGCCAAACTCCTCTGGCTGCTCCACTTGAAGGGGCTTCAACTCAGCCCAGGTCCGCAGAAAAAGGGCACTTTCCAGATTCCTATCCTTGAAGCTTGGGGGCATGAGGTCGAAATAAGATTGGATAGCTGACTGGCAGCTGCGCCAATCTCCGCGCCCGCACTCGCACACGGCAAGGAGGTGAAGCAACTCAGCCAGGTACCACTTGGGGAAAGGGACAATATCCCGTTCCTGCGCTCCCAAGTAGGGATTCTTGAAGTCCTTCCTCAAGGGCTTTTCAAGCGGTTGATATGATCTGGAAAGTACTTTGGAGCCTTTGGGTTCACAGTGGCGTGGAAGATTAAGCGATGCAGAGACTCGCGGGCCTCATCAAATTGGAAATCATCCAGCTCCACATGAGCAAGGATCCATCGCATACAGAGGATCAGCTGCTGATGGACCTCCTCCTGCTCAGGATGTTCCTCCAATTCTACGCCCAGCTCCTGTGCAAACTGCTGGGCGGAGAAGCCAAGTCTCAAGCGCTTGCCAAGATCCAGCACCGCTTTCCGCTGCTGACGCTCGTTCTCTGCTCAGGTGTAGGCGGCATCAATCATGGATCGAAGCTTGGACACGTTGAAGCTGGTCATCTTGCCTCCAGCGTATGGATTTAGAGGGTCTTGGGCACGCTGGACCATGGCCATTAAATTGAGCATCTTCCCAGGCAGCTTGTGGCATCGTTGGCGTAGCTCTGGCTTGTCCAGAAGGAAGAGCAGAGGGAAGTTTGCAAAATGTTCGCGGATGACAAACCACCCCTCCTCGGGTTCAGCATCACCCAAATCCGCCAAGAGGCTAGCGCGTCTCTGCTTTAGGTGATCCAGCAGGGTTGCATGTCCGGAGCTGGTCGCTGAGCAGTTGTCCTGCAAGCTCCGCAGGGTTGCCCTGAGCTCTGCTGTTGACGCCCGGCTCCGCGTGGCTTTGTCGATTGCATCCAGGCGGGCTCTGGCCTCCTTGAAACGTCCGGCTCTTGTCAAAGCGCCTGCAAGGCGATGCGAGGCCTTGGCCCAGGCGGAGATGTTTTCAGGCGCCGGGGCTCCTAGCATCTCCAAAGCATTCTCTGCGTCGTTTATGGCCGAAAGAGTGCGCCCGAGCTTCAGAAAGCACAAACTGCGATTGCTGTACAAGGCCACCATCAGATCCAAACTTGCGTCTACTACTCTGCTTTAGATTTAAGCCAAGCACTGCCATCGCCCTCGTGTACGAGGTAAGGGCATCATCATAGTTGCAGGCTTTGAAGAGCACGTTCCCGCGGTCCTTCTCGGCCACTGCAGCGAACTCAAAAACGAGCCGTCGCGCAGGTCCCGTCGCCGACTCGGAAGAAAATTTGATCAAGCTTGAAACAGAATGTGTGCCGGGGCGTAGCAGGCCCGTAGCCATATGGGACTTCAAGATTGTCTGCAGCTCCTGCCAGTGCAAGCTGTGCCCTGGTTCCACCGATGTCACATCCGCGAGAGATCTGGCATCTGGGGGAACTGACACAAGCATGGTGCAGAGGCCATGCTTGTGAAGCAGCAAATGCCGCAAACAGTCAAAATCAAGAGCCTGCACCGAAGCGTAGCTTTCAGGGCAGAGGAAACCCAGCAGACCATGGGAGAGCAAGTGATGGAAGTCTGCCATTGCACTTGAGCCAGGCGTTTGTAGACAAGCCTGGAGTTGCACTCAACGCAATCACGACGTGCGTCTAAAGCTACTTGTGCTAATAAGTCTCTAGCTTAACGCAAATACCGAGACGTAATGATACAATCCTTGCAGGTACAAGAAACTAGCAAGCACCCGGCAGGCCACTGAAAAATTATGCTCTAAACCGGTAGTGCGAAGCTGAACCATTCATAACCCCAAGTCTCTCAAGCCCTGGAGCCGAAAGCAAGGCAGCACATCATGACCAAGCGCAGCATCGAGCTCTGACAAGAGTCGGGCCTCACCAAGAAGGGCGGGCGCTATCTTTTCTCCACGAACCCAGTTGCCAAGGTCTCTGTACTCTCAGCCGAACAGATCGAAGTCCATCTCCTCCTCTTCCTCTTCCTCCTCGACCTTCTTCTCCTTCATGAGACATGCTTATCCAGGGTCCAGGTCCACTGGTGCTGCATGGGCGCAAATTGTGACAGGACCAAGTCTGTGCATACAGACGTGCCTGAAGTCAACTTACACAATGATGCATGCCGCCCTTCAACACTGGTTGTTTGCGCTTTACAAGAATTATCCTTTTTTCCGTACTTCTTCAAACCTCTTTGGATCGCGGGCAAGTGTCCTCCTTGGCCGCAGCTTCGCCTCCGCCGCCGCCTGCAGCCGGAGCGGCTGCTCCGCCGCCACCTGCCGCAAGAATCAGGTGGTCGCTGAGGAGGAGGAGAAGTGAAGGTGGGGAGGTCGAGTGTTGGTGGGAGCCCAAATGCGAGTAGTAGAAATTGGCCGATAGCTAGGAGACGACAAAAACCGCTTGAATTGTTGCCGAGCTGCCACCGCCACCCCCGCCGCCGCAAGCGGCGAACTTCCCGAAGCCCTCTTTGATCAGCTCGTGCGCCTAGAACAAGGTTGGCTAGCCGGCTCCTTGCCACCCCAACGTACAAGCTTCCACGTGATAAGGTAGTCTACAAGTCATTTGGGAAAGCCCCAGCAGGAGGTGAACTGCTGCCAGTGAGACCAGAGCAGAATAAGAGATTCATCGAGCAACTTCGCAAGGGAATAGCCTGCTCTTCCTGCTTCACAGATTACACGCGTCATTCTGAGGCATATACTCGTACCATGAAAGAGACACGTCCAAAGCAAAGGCTTGCTGTAGATTGTCTAGCCACCTGCTTTCCCTCCATGCGCTCGCAAATCTTTGTGATCAGATCGTCTTCGTAGCTGATGCCTCCGGCCTCACGCAAGAATACAAACTATTCAGGTCAGGCTGTCCTCATCACTCAGCAGAGGGTCTCCCGCTCTCCTTGCCGCGTACTTGTCCCTCGTGAGTTGTGAATATACTCTAGCATGCGCATAACTCCAATCAGAAGGCTAAGTGTTAAAACTCCTGCCCGACGAAATCAACCCCAGAAAAGGGGCTGAATCCAATCGATTCAGCTTGCATTACAGACACCCATCACTGCGCATTGCACACAGAGCACAAACGTTCGGCTGACGTAGAAGCTTTTGCCAAGACTCTCAATGGGAGAATGTTGCTCGCTATGGCGCAGCTTTTTGAGTGTTGGCTCTGGAGGAGCCGGATGCAGAGATTGGCACCGCAACTCGGAACCTACTGAATTCTTATTGGTCGTCAGGGATTATAAATACATAAGGATTATATTCTCCTTTTCCTACTAACCGTCAGTCAACATTCCGAACCCTCAATTCCGAACAAGCTGCTCTATCCTAGGCTCCCCTTGCCCATGTGAGCGAGCGTCTAATGCCGTTTACATTCATTCCTGTGTCTCTCCTGCAGGCAGCAGAACACCAGGGCGGCATGCATTTCCAAAATAATTAGAAATCGCACCACTACACATCCCCCCGAAGTCCCTAGCGAGCCTCAAGGATGGTCTTGATGTCTTGTTCGGAGGGGCTTTCCTCTGAATGTGTTGCACATTTGCTGCACTTGTTCCACAGACTCCGAATGACTCCGACTTTACTGGGGAAGGGAACATAATATTAGGATGGGTCATACGGGGTTGACTTTTCCTTGTTCATCCTTGTTCCCTACTAACCGCCAGCAAGCTACCCATCAAACCAGAATGCCTTCAGGGTTACACCCTTCCAGAGTGATGCTGACTCTTGGGACTTTGCTGCACCGGTTGCCAGCAAAGAGTGTGAACATCCACTTAGGCAAGCTGAAGCCGTATGTAGTAGAACCCTGCATGCGCATCACCCAAAAAGCAACGAGAGCCCTGGGCTCCCAAGGGTCCTTTCCGCCAAGGACGGCCATGAGGTAGGCGCCCAGATATTTCATCGCCATGGCCTGGAACACGCGTCCGCACTAGAGTCTGTCAATGCTATCCAGAATCCTCGCAAATATGTTTGATGCCAAGGGAAAGACATGTGGCAGAGGTGGGCTTGTAACCATGCAACTTTCACATCTCTTTGCACGTTTCCTATACCTGTTGGGGACGGCTGCACCTGCACTCGAAAATCACCGGCTTCCTTCAGCTGGGTACTTCGCAAAATACGTTTTCCTGACCAATGCCGAAGCGACAAAGCCTTTTGGAATACCCGGTAATCATGCATGCACGTCAGAGGCTATAGCATGAGACATGAGAGTTTGGCAGCGCGGAGGCCGATGAATCTCATCCAAGGTGCTGCTGGTTCGTGCTCCCGTGGACCCTGACTCCTTCTCTTTAAGGTTTCGAGCCAAAGGTCTTGCCACAGGTACGCGAGTCTTAGTCTGAATCGCGGGGACTCTGCGCTAACCACGTGGCCGAGGCTGAAGTCTCTCCACTCATTCGAACTCAACGTGGAAGTTCATTTCCGCAGCAGATGGCATTCATGCCCCTATAGTCCTATAGCACAACGGGACCATGATCTGGGACCATGCCTCAGACCGTCAGGCCGAAAGCAAGGCAGCACATCATGACCAAGCGCAGCATCGAGCTCTGACAAGAGTCGGGCCTCACCAAGAAGGGCGGGCGCTATCTTTTCTCCGCGAACCCAGTTGCCAAGGTCTCTGTACTCTCAGCCGAACAGATCGAAGTCCATCTCTTCCTCTTCCTCTTCCTCCTCGACCTTCTTCTCCTTCATGAGACATGCTTATCCAGGGCCCAGGTCCACTGACGCTGTATGGGCGCAACTTGTGACAGGACAAAGCCTGTGCATACAGACGTGCCTGAAGTCAACTTATACAATGATGCATGCCGCCCTTCAACAGTGGTTGTTCGGGTTTCTAAGAACTGTCCCGTTTTTCGTACTTCTTCAGGTCTCTTTGCTGCCTTGCACGCCGCTGCTCAGGGCCTAGGACTTTGGATCGCGGGCAAGTGTCCTCCTTGGCCGCAGCTTCGCCTCCGCCGCCGCCTGCAGCCGGAGCGGCTCCTCCGCCGCCACCTGCCGCAAGCATCAGGTGGTTGCTGAAGAGGAGGAGGAGGAGGAGGAGAAGTGAAGGTGGGGAGGTCGAGTGTTGGTGGGAGCCCAAATGCAAGTAGTAGAAATTGGCCGATAGCTAGGACACGACAAAAACCGCTTGAATTCTTGTCGAGCTGCCACCGCCACCCCCGCCGCCGCAAGCGGCGAACTTCCCGAAGCCCTCTTTGATCAGCTCGTGCGCCTAGAACAAGGTTGCGCGAAGCTAGCCGGCTGCTTGCAACCCAACGTACAAGCTTCCACGTCATAAGGTAGTCTACAAGTTACTTGAGAAAGCCCCAGCAAGAGGTGAGCTGTTGTGGGGAGCTGGGTGTGCTAAGATGCTTGCAAGCCAGTGTGAGACCAGAGCAGGAAAAGAGATTCATCGAGCAACTTCGCAAGGGAATAGCCTGCTCTTCCTGCTTCACAGATTACACGCGTCATTCTGAGGCATATACTCGTATCATGTAGGAGTCAGGTCCACAACCAAGGCTTGCCGTAGATGGTCTAGCCACCTGCTTTCCCTCCATGCGCTCGCAAATCTTCGTGATCAGATCGTCTTCGTAGCTGATGCCTCCGGCCTCACGCAAGAATACACACTATTCAGGTCGTGCTGTCCTCATCACTCGGCAGAGGGTCTCCCGCTCTCTTGCCGCGCACGTACTCTAGTGACTCTAGTGTGCGCATAGCTCCAATCGGAAGGGTAAGTTTTAAAAGTCCTGCCCGACGAAATCAACCCCAGAAAAGGGGCTGAATCCAATCAATTCAGCCTGTGTTACAGACACCCATCAGTGCGCATTGCAAACAGAGCACGAACGTTCGGCTGACGTAGAAGCTTCGGCAAGGACTGTCAATGGGAGAATGTTGCGGGCTACGGCGCAGCTTTTTGCATGTTGGCTCTGTAAGAGCCGGATGCGGAGGTTGGCACCGCAACTCAGAATCTACTGAAGTATTACTGATGGTAAGTAGCGAATAAGGGAATATGAACCTAATAGGGATTATATTCTCCTCTTCCCTACTAACCACCAGTAAGCAATCCAAACCCTCAATTCCGAACAAGCTGCTCTATCCTAGGCTCCCTTAGGCCATGTGGGCGATCGCGCAATGCCGTTTACATACATTCCTGTGGCTCTCCTGCAAGCAGCAAACACCAGCGCGACATGCATTTTCTAAATAATTTGAAGTCAAATCTCCACACATCCCCTGAAAATTTACCAGCCAATCCTCCAGTACGAGCGCTTACTTTAACCCTCAAATCATCCTTGCTCCATGCCTACATGCCCCCTCGCAGAACGGCGCTCCTCCCAAGTTAACCCCGTACTGCATCATTCGATTCAAATTCGGGGGCCTCTCGATACATGCAGACTGTGATCCCCAGTCCGTACCCTCAGCTATGGGGATCCTCAAAGGCCAGATCCTCACAAGAGGAAAACCCTTTCTTCTCACTATGATAATCCTCCCTGTAGCAAGCCTCAAGGATGGTCTTGATGTCTTGTTCGGAGGGGCTTTCCTCTGAATGTGTCGCACATTTGCTGCACATGTTCCACAGGCTCCGAATGACTCCGACCTTACCCGGGGAAGGGAACATATCAGGAAGGCTCATACGGGGATGACTTTTCCTTGTTCATCCTTGTTCCCTACTAACCGCCAGCAAGCTACCCATCAAACCAGAATGCCTTCAGGGTTACACCCTTCCAGGGGATTGCTGTTGCTCTTCCCCCAATGGGGAGGCTGGGGAACCTCTGCTGCTTGGTGGTTGATGCTGACTCTTGGGACTTTGCTGCACCGGTTGCCAGCAAAGAGTGCGACCATTCACTTAGGCAAGCTGAAGCTTGCATGTTGTAGAACCCTGAATGCGCATCACCCAACAAGCAACGAGAGCCCATGGCTCCCAAGGGTCCTTTCCGCCAAGGACGGCCATGAGATAGGCGCCCAAATATTTCATCGCCATGGCCTGCAGCAGGTCTTTGGCTGCAATCACCAATTTCCCATGTTGAACACCCGCCCGCGCTAGAGTTTGCCAATGCTACGAGTACCAAGAATCCTTGCAGATATGCTTGATGCCAAGGGAAAGACACGTGGCAGAGGTGGGCTTGTAAACATGCAACCTTCACGTCTCTTCGCACGTTTCCTATACCTTTCGGGGGCGGCTGCACCTGCACTCGAAAATCACCGGTTTCCTTCAGCTGGGTACTTCGCAAAATACGTTTCCTGACCAATGCCAAAGCGCCAGAGCTTTGCGGAATACCCGGTATTCAGGTATTCATGCATGCACGTCAGAGGCTATAACATGAGAGTTTGGCAGCGCGGAGGCCAATAATGCTCATCCAAGGCGCTGCTGGATCGTGCTCCCGTGGACCCTGACTCGCTCTCTTCAAGTTTTCGAGCCAAAGGTCTTGCCACAGGTACTCGAGTCTTAGTCTGCATCGCGAGGACAGTGCCATGCTGCATGCTACTGCGCATGGTCGTTTTGAACTAAACTGCACCAGTTCTCGCTGAGAGCAAACAACACGTGACCAGCCGTTGCCAATGACAACGTGTCTTGAGTCATTGAAACTCATAGGTGGAATTCCATCCCAATAGCCCTGATTCGCACATGTGCCTACAGCCCCAACACTACTGGGCCAAGAGTTAGGGCCACCCCAGATGTCCTGAGCCCTGAGCACATTTTCTCGAACGTGTGGCACAGACATACCGTCTCAGAAAAGTGCCGCAAGCAGAAGCTCAGAAAATTTGCCTATGTTCAGTAAGAGCTGCCTTGGAGACAAAGCACGCCAAGGGCTGGTGGCCGTTCATCCCGTCTATTCAACTGCTTCATCTGCAACCCTGTCTTGGGCAGCTGCAAACAACCATCACACACTTTTCCATGACCTAACATTTCTCCTTCCAAAAGGGCCCGCTCTTTCGCTAAGACCACTCGAAAATGTATCTGATAAAGGTTTTGTCCCCAAGGCCAGGATGCTCCAGAAAACTGCTCGGGACTTTGAAAGCCATCATGGTCTGCTCTGTTGTGGGAGTGGCATTTGAGCCTCTGCTATCTGAAGCGAGATCATTCCACTTGTGTTGTCGCATGCGATGTACCGGAATCTGCAACAATGCATTATATCTCCCAGGTGCGCAACTCCTACCCAGCACCGTCCTTGAGCAAATTAGGCTTTAGGCCACTGTTGCCTTGCAGGGTCCAGCGGCTCACTCGGGCTTGAGGTTCCCAAGAGGTGTCCAGATCTGGTCCACGCCATCCTTTCCAGTGGCAAGCCTCAGAAACCAGCAACCTGTAGCCTGCCTCAGAGATCTCATCGCTGTGAAGAATTTCGATGAATTTGACAAGGCTGCAAGGCCTCAACCGAACCTGTTACAGTCACTGAATCTTCCACATCAATCTCAGCCTTCAGCAAATTGATGAATAGGTTGTTTCAAAAACGAGCTCCAAACCCGCGACTTCAGAAAGCCTCGTGGTTCAGGACAACCGTTTTCGGTCTACGCCTTTGAATGTCCCTAACCTGCCATCACTCCTCCAAGCCTCTAGGCGCCTGAGCCTGTAAGATTTGGCATATGCTCTCGAAGGCTCAGCCACTGCGGGCTGGATTTGTTGGCTTGGGCGCATACAGTTGCTAATTATAAGGCTTTGTTTGCTCAACGAAGCCTCTAAGCTTGCCAGCCTTTGGCACGTCCATTTGGTACCTTTATTCTTGTTGCTCTTGTTGTTCGCAGTGTTAAGAGTATTACTAATGATAATGCCATTATTAATACATTTTGGGCTAACTTTAGGCACTTCTTGGCACCTAAACCTCTAGGTGCTTCGGGACAAGAATTACGTGGCTTCCTTCCAGAAAGGAGGGTACAGCTGCATTCAAGAGGCTCTGCGATGACGATGCCCAGGAAAGAGACCATCCCCATGCCTCGTATTACTGCTTCTCAGTAGGGAAAATATCATATAGGGAGTATATTCTATAAGGTTCTTAGTAAGGAATAAGGGAAGATAACCCGCATTTAATCCCCATATGATATGCAGGGAGCACCACTAAGTTGTGTCTAAGCCATATGGCATCTTCTCAAAATGGGAGCTTCTAGCCCATTGTCTCTCTTACACTGGGGATTCTTACTGCAAGGGCACTAGAGAGGCGCCCCATGTCAGAACTCATGGATTCGTCCTGCACCTATCTGGGCTCCGGAAACCCATAAAAATTATGAAAATACATGAAATTCATATTCTCTCTCTCCCTGCCGTGCCATCCGGAGGGTCCAGCAATCTGGGGCACTTAGGTGAAAATGAAATTCATATTGGGGTCCTCCTATTTATGGAACTACCATCTAGACAATGACCAAGAAGGCATGATCACAGCATTCACACCAGTGAATGTATATAATCCGGATATAACTATAACCCCTTAATAGACCGTATATAATGCCTGTATAGCCCCTTAATAACCCCTATATAATACTTGCATAACCCCTTACTATATAGTCCCTATATAATCCCTGTATAACCCCTTAATAATCCCCACATAATCCCTGTAGAACCCTCTACAATCCCTGTTGTCAAGGCACGGCAGTTGTTCAACTCCCGGTCTTTCCACTCTGTGTAGGTTTGCCCGAAGCCAGCGGGGTCTCCGAAGTCACCTGACCAGGGCTAGGGGAGGCAATAAGACAAATAGCCAAAAAAACTCGTGGTAGCGGTAGTGTAGTAGTAGCAGCAGTAGTAGGAGGAAAAAGAGAAGTAGGACTAATACGTGCGGCTTTCATTTTTTCAATGGTATGGTTTTTCAAGGTATGGAAGTGTGAAAACCATGGTGGGCGTCTGTGCTTCTGTAATCAGATCATTTCGGACGGCAGATTCAGCATTTATTGATTCGACATTCCTCGTTACGTGATGCTATGCGGGGTTTTGAGCCTTTAAAGCTCAAGCACGAGTCGATCCTGTGCCCTATACAGCCAGCCTAAATGCTATGTAGACCTGTCACTTGCCCATAAACAGGCCTTTAAGGCCAACTTACTAGGGTTGTCCCTGGTTTAGGTAGGCCTGGCCTAGGGTTCTTTTCGACTTCCACGAAAAAAATATGGTTTGATCTGCCCTTACCCTAGCCCTACCCCGCTTTGAGATGTTGATGATGCATCTTGGTTTTACTTGGACTGATGGGTAATACACCCTGCGTTCAAAAATGCGAAGTAACCAGAAAAATGTTCTTGAGGGAGGTCCCTGTGAACGCCCCCACTATTCAAAAATCAGGAGTGACCAGAAGGCCATTTATGAGACGTCCCTCTAAATGCCCGCTAGCTTCAAAACTCCGAGGTAGCCAGAAACCTGTTTATGAGAAAGCCCTTAAACTAAGAGGGCGTACCCTGGACTGATGCGGCGAATCAAGACTCAAATCAGAACAGCTCACCCATTGGACTAATGTGACTAATGGGGCGTATGACGATGGCACCGAAATGCCGTCCTTCCGAAAGAGGCTTCTGATCAAAGTCAAAGTCATGGCTAGCGGGGACTCAAAATTCAAAATCAGAACTCCTCACACACTTGGACTAATGAGGCCTACCCTGGATGGATGGTAAAAAGCTGACTTCAAAAAAATATGCACCTTGAGACCAAATGTCAAAAAAAACGAGCTGACACACCCAAGAAAATCCAAAATGAGTACGAAAACACCATAGAACGGGTCAAGTAGAGAGAAAAGCATGCCGTCAACAACGAAGACCGCACCACCCACTACACACTTCAAAGCTACAACCGACATGAAAACTTCTGCCGACCTGGGTCCATCTCTGGGTCCTGCTTGAAGATCGTAAATTCCAGGGCTCCTCCCCTTGGCAAGTTTAAACCAAGGGTTTCACTGCTTTGGGGTGGGGATAACCATCAGGTCTCAAACCAAGTGCTTGCCACCATCACTCTCTGCTCAACATAACATAGGCCGACATAGGCGTTTGGAAGGAAAGTGCTTGGTAGGGAACGCAAGCTACATCTCCATTCTCGGATGCCAGCCCAAAACATGGCCCCGACAGGGACCTGTCTAAGCAAAGAGACGGGTACCGATCTAAAGTTGTCGCCTAGGTTCCACTCATGGGCGGTAAGTGCGGTCAATACTATATACTACATTCTTTACAGAAACAGAGCATGGACCATCCATGTACTCCTCTCCAACCCTGAATCATGCTAATTCCCTGTGGGGTGGGGCCGTTCATGATTAGAGGGGGACGGCACTGTAGAGCCCGGACATCAATCCCACTACCATTCCAAGGTCCATGTCATGTGATTTTCCTTTATTTCAGAGGTGGGGGGGGGGGGGCATGATTGTTAGGGGAGGTGACTCTTCCCTCCCAACTGAGCCAAGCCACAAAGCAACGATGGCCAGCAGTCCGTAAGTGCCTCATCTTTGAAGGGGCAGAGTCTATGGGGGTCTTATGTTGATACCGCGCAATTTCACATTCTATCTACTTAAGAAGGACTACAGGTGTAAACCCGGAATTCCAAGGTCCTTTAGACGTATGAGGCCCAAGACGCCTGGAGGCGTAATGGCAGCTTGGATTCCAGAAGGAACATCTTCGAAGCCTGGGAGGGCCAGGAATTGTTACCTCTGAGATTTTCATGCTTACCCAATATGCACATCGCTACCACCACCACCACCACCACCACCACCACCACCACCACCACCACAGCTACGACTATGACTGCTTGAAGTGGTCAATCCCGAACACGCCTGGGAGGCGGAACCAATGCTGGAACACACAGCCCAGCGAAGCGATCATCGCCTCAAACAGTGGGTCAGGAGCAATCGCAGCACCAACCAATATGTAGTTATGTACTGGGGGAATGTTCATGATTACGGCATGGGTTTCCTATTGTTTGGTTATTGTCTAAAACAGGAATGTGAGTACGACATACTATGGCAGTCATGGGTAATCAACGAGCCAAGAGGACGAGAATGCTTCTCACAGTAGCCATGGACACATAAACGTTACGTGAGTGGGAGGCGGGCACCTGTACCTGGTAGCGATGCTGGTGCTAGTGCTGCTGCTGCTGCAGCTGCTACAGTTCTCGCTATTACTGTTACCACTAAGTACTGCAAGTACTACCAGTCCTCGTCCCACTTACACTCCTCCTACTGTTACCCCACTCTTACTCCTCACGAACTAGTATAGAACTATTACGACCGCTACTGAGTGCTGCTAAGTAGCACCACTACTACTACCCCTCCTCCTGCTACTGCTCCTGCTCCTGCTACTGCTACTGCTACTGCTACTGCTACTGCTACTGCTGCTGCTGTTGCATTGGCTGCTTGCTGCTGTTGCTGTTGCTGTTGCTGCTGCTGTTGTTTTTGCTGCTGTTCTTCCTCACCTGCATGGCTACTGGTGTTTGGTGAAATTCTTGGCAGCATTTCAGGCTTGAAGGTCTGAGGGGGTAATGGAGGCATCGTTTTGCCCTGTTTAAGCTGCTTCTTGGCCCACACACTGCAGGGCCATGGCCTGAGGTAATCCGCTTCTTACCCCTCTCCACAAACACGAGATCCACAGGCCGAGAAAGGACGTGTCAGGAGATGTTGTTCATTAAAGTTGTTGAGGATTCTGGCAAGAGGCCACTCGACCGTGCTTGAGCTCAGCAGATCGCAGCTGGTAAAAGCCTGACCATTGAATTGGATCGAAATCCTACAGAGTTCTGATTGATGGGCTTGATGGACGTTCGAGGTGTTGATGTGCTTTATGACTTTACTTTGTTGGGCGTTACGGAAGGCGCTTTGGATTCTACAAGCCTTTATTGAGAGGCCTCTGAATGCACACCTGCTCGTCCTAAGCATCGGCACACCATCTTTCAAAAGCGCTTCAAAACAACCGCCGTAGTCAGTGCAAATCATATTCCCCTCAAAGGTCTACATAACTACGGAAGCACTCATTGAAGGTTCGCAGGTCATAGCCGAGTGAGATCCAAGATGCTTCAAAGATGTAACAATAGTAACAGACAAACGGGATACAAGCAACGCAGACGCCAAACAACATAGTTTCGGATGAACTCTGCCTGCGTTACTCCTTACTTTCAAACTTTTTTCCCCTGATCAGGCCTTCGCGATCCCCTTCCTTGGCGAAGCCAAGAGGATCGAAGTAGAACAGCGGCAGCGTCACCCCTCTCGGAGATGATGTGAGGCTTACCCCAAGTAGTACTTATGCTGAAGTCGCAGGGAGGCAGAAGGGCTGTTGACGATGCAAAGCCGGAAGGGATTCCTAAGGACTTCTAGTGGACTGCTGCAGCCATTCGCAAGCCTCTCAATGCGATCATGCTCCCAGCAAAAACGTAGTTTCCCAAAATAAGGGAACCCCAATGTAGACCCCAAAATACTACGAGCCTTAATATGGGATCCCCAAAATGGTACCACTAATTTTGGGAAACCCCCAAACCCTGCCTAACCCCCATACATCCCCTGTAAACCCCTTTAAAGGATACCCCTAATTGTGGAAACCGCCACATGGAGCCCCATGCCGACCTGGCTCCTTCTTGGGGTCAAAGGGCGGCTCGGCCTCTTCCAACACCTCGGAGACGTGATGGCAATAAGGCGGGGGTCCCAAAATTAGGGGTACCCTTTAAATCCTGTGAATGGGCTAGAAAGGGATTATATGGGGGGGCTGTATAGGTTTTAGGGCTTAGGCTTTCTCAAAATTAGTGGTATCTTGTTGGGGGTCCCGGTGGAACGGATTATGGTCTTTCAGGGGTCCAAGATGGAGTAAAACTAGTATCGATGGCCGAGAACACAGCGATAGCCATGACGAAAGCACAAGAAGCAGTAGGGCTAGCAATAAAATTCCATCACGATGTCTATACAACAGGTGCTGTTCCTGGAACAGGGGAGCCGTCTTCCTGCCATCTATTGATACTTTCAAGTGCGTGAGGCCTGCAGAGATGGCATTTGCTTCGCACCACAGCTTGCTTGTGTGCAGCCGTGACACGGCCTCGGCTTTCCGTGCAATGCGCTGGCCTTGGCTGGGAGCTTGCAAAGAGATGGTGGCTAGTGGTTTTGTGGAAATGGAACGCAGCAACCGTAAGTTGCCCCCTACACAAACCGACAAACGTTCCCCCGCAAGAAAGGCAATGCCAACCTCTCAACACACCTGACATGGAAGGCTACTCAAGTCTTGAACCGCCTGGCCCGAACCCAACTGCAACAATCCTCATCCCCACAAACAACACTGTGGCTACTAGTACGAAAACTGCATTTCAAATCTGACGAGGGGTATCTCTTCCACCGTTGTTAAACTGCCACTCGCCAGAAGCATATCTCATACTGCCATTATGGCCACTGCTGCGACTGTGCAGAATCATTCTACAATATTCTACCTGTTCGGAAGACTCTCCCTGCGTCTAGATGATGAAGGCTGCCACTGCTACTACTGTGACTATGATGGAGATGAACAATGCCATGTGCACGAATTGCCTTTCTCCAAAGGCAAAACTTCATGTTGAATAGACATGTAGATGCATACGCACATATGAGCACATGTACACATATAAACATACATACATGTGTATATATATGTATATATAATGAGCTGCCGTAAGACGTAATGCAGGAGTTCCTCACAATGATCCCTGTCAAATCCTGAGCGATACCCAATGATCTCCTTATAATGCCTATGGCAGCCTATGAACTGCTAGGGTCCGCGCAAGAAGCATCCTGTTGCTAAGAAACCCCCGTAATCCAGAGAAGTGTTTGGCAATTCGCCTCCCAAAAGATGAATCCCCGGACCCCCTATCCACAAACTTCCTGTTATACTCGTTTACAATACCTTGAGAAATTCTTGTGATTGCGGTTTGGGGGGTCCATGCCTATTCAACCCCGTGTAGCTCTAGTTTCCATTTTCATGTTCCTTCTGATTCTGGGTTATTGCGCAGTGGGTAGTGACCCTAAACCCCGAGACGCATAAACCCTGAAGCATAGCCCTTAAAGCCCTTGAAGCCCTAAATGTAAACCCCAAAACCTCAAACCCGAAAGCTCTAGATAGCTGCCCATGCAGCCAGGTGCGGCCCGCGGCCACGGATCCCAGGGCCGCCGCTGCGCCCACGGCAGTGGCACCAAGACCAAGGGCCCCAGTGGGCGCGGGCCTCTCAAAGAGGACTGTAGGGTTTGCATAGGGTCATGTAAGGACTATATGTAAAGTTATATTTCAATATGAAGAGATTAATTATATGGGGATAGTTAAGAATCAAACGGAAAACGAACTGGACACTCGGAGGATAGAGAGATTTGAGATCTAGAGTTTCGGGGGCCCTACTGTCATGTTAATTGTAGCTATAGGGGGACATTGGCAATAACCTGAATATAGCCTACGTGCTTCCTACCTAGGTTTCAGCACAGGCAGTATGGGATTGGCAGGGCTTTGTGGGATCACCTTGCATAACTCGGGTTTGTGAAGGGATGGGGCCTAGGGTTTCGATGCGCTCCCCCTTGTACATCCAAAAAGTATTGGCTGGATCCTGGTGCGAAGAACCTCTAGCCCTCATGCTGCAAACTGTGCTGTTCATGTATAGTTGCATCAATATTGAAGTAATAAGTAGTTAGTAACCTTTTTTCAACCAGTAACCCTGAACCCTAAACCCTAAACCGCTTTCCGAAGGGAGGAACCATAGTTGCGGTAGCGACTGACCTTGGCTTTGTCTCCACATTACTTGTTTTTACTATAGTACATTGTTACATGGGGATAATGGACAAATGGAAGCTACTAAATAGAATGGTGTATATATTGGTGTTATGTAGGGATAATGGAAAAGAAAATGGAAACTACTATAGGTTTCTAAAACAAGCAACTTGGCTTTGTCTTCTCAGTAAGCTATCCTTGTTTCTTCTGCTGCCCTTTTCTTCCAGTCATGCAGCAGCAGTATCTGGCAGATGGGAGCAACAAAGCCCATCACTGCTTGTGCCGGGCAATGAGACGCGACTCCAACCCTCAACCTTGAAAGGCAATCCTTCCGCAGACCCTCTCCTCACTTCTGTCTACGCACCCTCACCAGAACACTCAGCCTCTGAACACTGTCGGGCACTGCAGTTGCAGCGTGTGGCGCAGCCGGTGGCACGAAGGAAGGCGACGCAAAGTAGAGCGCGGTGCCTAAGGCACCTCCACTGGCTCAAATGTAACATGCTTCATCTACAGACTGGGATTCCCCTAGGGGACCCTAGGTAAACATGGTGAGCATGAGGAACTGACACACAGGACCACGGTGCCGTCAGCATTTATGTTGCCTTCATAGCTGTCGGCCTTGTTCGTACTGGAACTCAGGACACTGAGACCCGCCTGCCACCAGAGGCGTGGACTTTGTCATGGCCACGCAGGTGCAGGGTCAAGTAGCTCCACGAGGCTGAAGCTGCGGGCCACTGGCAAGATGAGAAGTCCCAAAGATCAAAGTTCTCTTTCTCAACCTTGTGCAGATCAGATTACCTCTTTTCTCTGTGCAGCGAATTTGGTTCATGGGTTCCGCTTAATTGAGATGTACAATGAATTAGCTGTGCAATGCAGCATCCATGTGCGCCCAAAAAACTTGAAAGTAACTTTCACAAAGCCTGCACGATGTAAAGCCAGCAGGCAGATCCTCAGAGGACACCAGTCCAATCTTTGTGCCACATCACCGCGCCTGAGCACGACTGCGATTCTGCAGCAGGAACATGGGCCAAAACTTGCTGGTTGTCAGTAGGGAATGGAGGAATGGATCCCTATATAGGCCCCAAGAAGATAGCGGTTTCCATTTCTGTTCCACTCTTTCATTCCCTACACAAAAAAGGGGACTGAGTCAGCCCCTTTGAGAGGCCGGCAACAGTGCTGGCATTGAGCGGGCGGCGCGCGCACGGGCGCGAGGCCTTGGTCAACCAGGCAAACCGGAGGGGTTCCGAAAACAGACGGGGCTCCCCTCAGTTAGGACTAGTTGATTCGGAGTAGGTTAGGGTATCCAAACCATCCTAATATTCAGGAATACCACTCCGACAGTCAAACCCGTAGACCCAGAACCCTGAACGTTAGACCTATTGCGCAAACCGCTCTGCAGACCTCGAATCCCTGTCACATCCCTCCATGATGACCCACTCAGACGTGGCAGCGTGTCATCGTCATGTCAGACTCTAAGGAGTCAGCTGGTGCGGACTGAAGCGGCTCATCTTCGGGGTCCCTCGGCAAAACCCACATGGTCAAGAATTCGCACACTCGTTTTTTGCCACAATTTCCAGATGTAGATGAATCTCGATCCACTCCGCATCACTGATACTCTCACTGATACTCTTCGGGCTATTGCCTGTTATATCCTGTTATGACAGAGTGGGTTTTGCTGATATTAGGGTTAGAAGCCTTGGTTGCGTGCACCTCCACTTTTTCTCCCTGTTGCTTGCTCCATAGGGACAAAAGGAGTGGTCATTCTGAAAGGGTTTTCTGCATCACTCCTCAGGGACAACTCCTTCATTCCCTACTGAGCACCAGGGAGTCCAGTCCTCTTGGGTTCCATGTCTCATCCTTCGCCTGATCTAATCAGCCACTGGGGAAGGGGCGGTTGGTGTGATCTTTTCTCAATCAGGATCACAAAGCAAAAAGCCACACATGGTCTGGCACGCCAACCTTCTCTTCCACATCGGACTTCACTAAGACTCAGTTAGAAAGATTTAAACATGGCAGGTCGTTGTCACGACGAAGAGCCGACACAACACCATGAAGGTATGGTGTCAATGTGTCTTGGTGAGAAGTGAAACACAAAATGGCTAGCCTTGGAGGTCTTTTGACAGATCGCATGGCTTCATTAGAATGGCCACTGATAACCAAACTACACGGAGTACGTATGGTCGGAATTCGCTGATAAATTAAAACCCCCTCCCCCCCTGGACATTGCAAACCAACCTACTTCGTCCATACCTCCACTTTGGGAGCTTCCACTCCCGACAGGAAGTCTCTTCGCAAGACCCGTTCAACTCCTGCTTTGTCCTTGAAGGCCACCTGGGTCTCTCCCGACTAGGAATCCCTCTTCAGTACAGATTCACCACTGTAAGGATAGTCTAAAGATTTTGAGCAACTCCCGCCTCCAGCCATGTCTCCCCCGACATTACTGACACACCCAGGGGCAATCGAAGCCTGCCGTCCTCCTCCTTTCCAGCAGCTGACACATCAAAGCACTCGGCTGCGACAGCCGAGTGTATTTCCTGGGTTGCTGTTAAGGAACTTAAATTAAGTTACTATATTGGGGAAACCCTATTATTTACTATATATACCCATTATGGTAACTTAATTTAAGTTCCTTAAATCCCTATATTCCCAAGGTTTCCATTTCATTTTTTATTTTCTTTTCCATTTGATTCTCCATTATAAGGGGATAATCCCTTAATTTCAGTTCCTTAACAGCAACACAGTTTCGTCAAGCCCGAGGCCAGAAGGTGTCGCGCGAGAGCCGCTCACGGTATTTATGATAGGTGACACATCTAACGAGAAGCCGTCTGTATGCCACTTCCTGGGTCTGTAATGGCCCTTTTAAAACCTGAGCATAAACTATAGAACCCATCTTGGGTCAGGCCATTTTTGGGAAGACTTCGAATAATGAGTTTTGCTTTTGGGGGCCCTAAAATACAGGACTGAATCCAGACCATCCCTTTT